CATGTAGGGATGGACACAGGGAAGAGGTAACTATGGGGAGAAAGTGGGAGGGGAGCTGTTGCATTAGGGTAAATTGTAGTCAATGTCATGAGACAATGTGTGTGTGAACTGATGTATGGAAAGTGAATTTACTCTGTAAACTTTCACCCAATCACAATAATAAATAAAAAAATAAAAAAAACATTAGAGCCCCAAATCAAGAGGAAATGGATAAGTTACATAAGCTCTCCTTAAGACACCTTTCCCAATCCACATCTTATAAAAATTACTCTTTAGTCAAAGGCATGCATTTTTAATCAGTCTCTAATTGGGCTTCACCCATCTCCAACAAAGATCAACCCTTCAGAAGCCAAGCACTTTCATATTTTTCAAAAGCATCAATAAATTCGGTATTCAACATGTAATTGCAAACTCTATTCCCAGGATAGTTTAGAAGACCCTAGGAACTAAATAAATTTATGCAAAATATTACAAAGGTAATGACAGTCTTTTTTGTAACCCAACTTTGTCTTTCTTCACTAAAAGGAAGCAGAAGTGAAGAAAAGTGACATGAAGTGAAGTGAGAGAAAGAAGGAGAGAAGATAAGAGAGGAGAAGAGAAGGAAAGAGAAAGAAAACAAAAGGTACAAAATTATTCACTAACAATACACACAAGCACAGAGCCAAACTCAGATCAAATCAAAGAACAGAAAAATTGTAAAAAAAAAAAAAAGAAGAAGCACATTCAATTCAGGAGATTATTCAAAGAGTTATCTGTAAATAAACTTCAAGCTAATGAAAAATAAATTTTCAGTACTTTAAGTAGTTAATAACACAAAAGTTGACTTATCATAAATTTCTAAACCTTGTGGGAAATATTCTTTGTATTCTAAATCCTACCCACTAATGCAAGGGTGCAGATACATGTCATAGCCAACAGTGCTGATTTTTAATGCAGGATTTAAAAAGTTAATTTAATCCCCAGATATTTTTTTAATTGCACCCCATCACCAAAAAAGTTATTAGAGGTAACACATTAGAAACCTTACCTACTAAAGATGTTTTATCCGGTGAAAGCCCCTCTATTTTCCAAGCTACTTGGAAGAAAAACTGACACCGGGAGATTGTCATACCTTCACAACTTACTCCAAATGTTCACTACGATAGTCAAGCTTTAAATATGAAGCCCCTCTGAACAACTAGCTCCAAAGAATGCCTATTTGCCTTCTCTAGATACTGGAGACAACAGAACCACAAAGAGCAAACTACTTATGTGATTACTTATTAGGGGCATAGGAATATACTTTAAAAAGTACATATCCAAACACCTACAATGAAAATGACTAATAAATATTTATATACTTAGAAAAGGAATATATACAAAAAACTGCACTAAAAGTGAATAATAAATATTTACATTCCAAGTCAAAAAATTCCATAGTCTAAAAAGAAATATTTGATGTTTTCATCTCTGAATACTGAAGCAAAATAATGATTATAATAATTTTAATAAAACTTTAAAGGTACACCTTATTACCTTGTTGATATAAGGTGAATGAATGCCTTTGAACAGGCAAATAAGAGGGGAAAATCCTTGAGGCATTTTTATATTCTTACTTAACAATTATCTGATAATTACCCATCATTACCTGCTGATGAAGGATTCCATTTTAAATTCCTAACATTTCTGATGGTATAGACATGTTACTTCAAAAGTCATACCTGGAAAGAGACTGAGAAGACTGACGGGAGATTTGTTGGTATCAATAGTTAGTTTGTGGCTTGCAGCTTTTGATGGCTGACCTGGTAGGCAGATTAATTTTAGGGGAAGTCTAAATTTACACTGGCTAATTCTAGGTATACCTGAAACAAACAGAGAGAGAACAGTATATTCATAGACTTGACAAATAATTTGGTGAGAAAAAAAAAAATGGACAATTTAATAGTTCAGTTAGCAACACATTAGTTTAAAAGCTTGTTGCCTGCCCATGTTATTTATCATAACTGAAATAACTGTAAAGTATTTGCATAATTTATATTTTTTATATTATTGTCAAAAAGTACAAGGCAAAAATAAAATCCTAAAAAGCACAAAGGTATGAAATCTGCCTTTAATGTAAATGTTGTATCGTGAAAACAGTCATGTTGAGACACTATATAAAACTTTAGAGTGACATTCAATTACTGAATTGTCTTTCAATTAAGACCTTCAAAGCCCTAGCACTAATTGAAGACTATCATTTACAGTGAGCAAAGAATGTGAAGTTTATATCATTAGGACTTTATATTACCATATCCAATATTTTCTCTAACCAAATATATTCTAAATCTTTAGTTATTTTACTTATTTTAGATTCAAAGTATATTAATGATTTTCAATAAATTATGAACATGAAGCAGAATTTGCTCTACTAAAGTTCATGTCCATTTTATACATTAATATTAAGAATACGGCTTTTATATCAATTATATTTTTCTCAAGCCATTTAACTTTACATACCACTGTTAGTGTCATCTTCAAAGGTTTACACCGTCAAATTTTTTTCAGCACAGGCATGCATATTTGTACAAGTATTTGAATAAACAAATAAAACAATGAAGACTTTCACGTCAGAATTTTTTAAGTTTTTAAAATCATTCCTTTCAATCTTTTTATAGAAGATGAAATTGAAACCAAAGCAAATTAGACTCTCCACTTAATTTAGAAAAGCAATACTACAACCTTGGTTTTCTATCCTTTTTATTCTAGAACTCTGTTTTCTTACTGGATAAGATGAAAAATAATACATAGAAGACTACATTTCAGCATACTTCTGTAGAGAAATGGAAAACACAAAATCTCCTATTCAGCAATATATTTGTTAATGCCAGTTGGAGATGTATGGCTTAGGCCACATTCAACCTGGGAGTACACTTTTCAATAGTATTAATTCACTAGGATAGTGAGAGATACTCAACAATGGCAAGCATATTGATATATGAGGTCAATTAAATGCTTTTTCAGAGCATGTAGAGCATATTTGTCATTCTCTTCAACATAATCTATTATCCCTCAAATTTAACATAGCTCATTTTCTGCTCATAACCAACAGATGTTAAATTCACTTCTCCTGGAATCCTAGATGCAGATTGTAACTGGTGTCTCTTCAGAAAAGTCCCAGGGTATTATTTCCTGACATTCTGTGAGGTTTTTAGAGGCATGTGTATTTGTACTTTACAGTGATTAAATGTTTTGACTCAAAATATTATGGTAACATGATCTAAGCTACTCCCAAACCACAACTATCAATATCACCACAAAACATTTCAAGGTACTAGTTTTCTAACTTCAAGAAAATTTCCATATACTCTATATATCTTCAAATTGTGGAAATCTACATACTCAATATGTTTCTCTACAATATATAAATTGCAGCCTCAATTAATAGACACAATCTGGAAAGAACAGGAAAACTGAAACCTGCTTCCTCTTCTTTCATTTTTAATGCACAAAATAACAGTGGAGAAAATCCTTCACCTTATGACAATTCTGTATACGCACAAAGGGAAGCTGCTTTCTTAACATTTTCAACCAGACTGAGCTAATTGTTCAAACAAACTCAGCTGCAACTGTTCTGTTAAAACTATTCTGTGACCTCTTCTTTACTTGGACCAGCTACTGACTGACTGAATTCCACAGTAAAAAAAAAAAATATATATATATGTGTGTGTGTGTGTGTGTGTGTATACATATATGTATGTATATGTATACATATATATGACACCAACAACACTGGTCCTGTATTACTGAGTTTATATTTGAAGATTATTACCCTACAACCCAAAAACCCCAGAGTTAAAGAAACCGGAGTATACAAATGTTTTCAGAAATCAAAACAAATGGATTGCATGCACTAATAAACCCACGAAGAGAAAACCAAACCAAACCAAACTCACTGCCATCAAGTCGGATTCCACTCATAGCGACCCCTCCTTGGGTTTCTGAGGCAGTATCACTACGGAAGTAGATTGCCCAGTCTTCCTTCCAAGGAGTGGCTAGTGGGTTTGAACCACCAGCCTTCTGGTTAGCAGTCAAGTGTCTTAGGCACTACACTACCAGAGCTCCCAGGAAGGAAAAAATATATTATAATTCAATTTACAATGCAGTTAGGGTCAGTTCATGGCAATGGCACACACTAGGGCAAATGTCTACAGTTGCTAGGATTTGTAGAACTTCTCCAGAATCTCTTTTTTCTCCAAGAATTGTAAACCTGTTTCATAGCACATTTGGAAAACATTACTTTGACAAATGATGGCACCCATACTTAATAAAATAATTATCACTATTTTTTAAATGACAGCAGCTTGAAAAGTTTTACCATTAGGGGGAAATAAGTATGAAATTCTTTAAAACTAGTTTAAGAATCCACTACCTTTAAAAAGAAGAATTAGAATACCAGTATTTTATAGTACTTCCCATCAAATTAAAATTCAAACACTTCAAAATACAACCCCAAATATTCAGGCATGGGGTTTATTAAAGGCACATTTCTACTGGGATTTTCATTTTCTTGAGAAACTTCAAATGTAAAGTTGGCTACCAATTACTCTTCAGACACTATAATTGTATCTAAGAATTTGAAGCCAAAGATAAGTAGAGGTGTGTGTGGGTGTATGCATGTGTGCATCTGAAATCAGGAAGGAAAGAATGACATGTATTTAGAGACTTTTCAAGGTTGCTAGCAGAAAAGCTTTCAACTTAATTGAAAGAGTCTAATTGGTCCTCACTTTACCGACCATCAGCTATATTTTCTCTACATATTTGACAAAACAACCTCTATACCTGACTCACTCCATTTCGTGAATCTTATCCTGAGAAAAAAGAAAAAGAAGTTGTTATGTATTTTACTCAAATATTGGCCACTCACTCATCAAACTAACTTGGTTCTGCAGTTTTTCACCTAATATAATCACCTATCCTTCAAACACTTCAGTTCCTAGTCTATAAGAGGAAATGGATAGTTGCACCTACTATGGTATGATTAATCACAAAATTCTTTTAACACTTAGAAAACTGACATCAAAACCATTCCTGGCAGAACAATTTTTTCCAGGAAGAGAATACTAATTACACTTGGCACACCCAAGAGATCAGTACCACTGTCAACTGGGAAGCCAAACTGTGTTTTTTCTTTTTTTTTTTTTTTAAAGGAAAAAAAGGAAACGTATATTAGAGTAACTATATCTATGTATTACACATCTATATAATGCCTTTAGAACTCTTTCCAGGGTCTGCTAGAGTCATTTCATATTGAAAACAAGGAACCCCAAATTAGTAGCAATGTCTGGTAGCCAGAACTTCCTTGATCTTTTCCTGTTATGTCTGGCGACGTACTGTGCTTCATCTGCACTCGTGTTTTACACTGCCCATGTCATGTAACTTTAATGCAGAATTAATGGAGACTAACTCTTATGGGACAACATAAAATCTCGTTTGCTTCTCTTTTTCCACACGTAAAAGCAGAGAACTGCTTATCTACACTACAGCCTGAACAGATTAGGCCAATAAAATGGATCAGACTGAAATACGAAGCCTGGTGTAGATGTAGGAACTAAGTGGCAACATACTATTTTCTAGGTAAGGCTGAATATTTAAACTCAGTTCCCTAAAGCTAAATTATAATTTTTAAACAGATAATAAAAGATTACTAAAACCAGCTTTTCGGAAGGAAGGTTAGGCAATCTACTTCCGTAGTGATACTGCCTCGGAAACCCAAGGAGGGGTCGCTATGAGTCGGTCTGACTCTATGGCACATAACAACAACAAAACCAGCTTTAGCTTTGAATTGGAATACTAAAATTCTTATAAATTTGATTCTGTTTCTCAAGATTTGGGCTGAATTTACAGCTAAGAGAGAAAAAATTCTTTCCACAATGCCCCTTACTGATTTTTTAAAATGTAAAACAAATCATTTAAATGATAATATGGTACTTTACAGGAGCTCTGGTAGCATAGTGCCTAAGACAATTGTCTGCTAACCAGAAGCTGGTGGTTCAAACCCATCAGCCACTCCTTGGAAAGAAGGTTGGGCAATCTATTTCTGTAGTGATGTTGTTGTTGTTGTTATGTGACCTCGAGTCAGACCTGACTCACAGCGACCCCTCCTTGGGTTTCCGAGGCAGTATCACTATGGAAGTAGATTGCCCAACCTTCCTTCCAAGGAGTGGCTGGTGTGATACTGCCTTGGAAACGCAAGGAAGGGTCCTATGAGTTGGTCTGACTCAATGGCACATAACAACAACAACAACAACAATGGTACTTTACAAAATTTAGTCCAAAACCTTATCAATTACACGTAAATATTCATTTCTAATACCAGGTTATTTTTAATGACTGATATTCTGATTTGACAAGTGCACTTTATGTTACTAGGTTATATGCTTCTATTAAACTAGGGAGCTCTGGTGACATAGTGCCTAAGGCATTTGACTGCTAACCAGAAGGCTGGTGGTGCAAACCCACCAGCCACTACTCCAAGGAAGGATGGGCAATCTACTTCCATAGAAATACCGCCTTGGAAACACAAGGAGGGGTTGCTATGACTCATTGGCAGTGAGGTTTGTTTTTTTTTTTTTTTTTTTTGATTAGGTTAT